AAAACACCGTAGGGAAAAGCGGTAGGGAAGCTATCCTCTCTTAGAAGGTTGTGAAATGCTCCGGCCCAAGTCAAATTAAATGCATACAAGACTCTTATTCGCCCTGCCTTAGAATATGCCGACATAATATGGAGTCCCCACCGACAACATCTAATAGACAAAATTGAACGCATTCAGAAATTAGCTGCACGGTTCATCTACTCTAATTATTTGCGGCATTCAAGCGTCACTGACCTAATTAATAGAGCGAATCTTCGGCCACTTTCCAAACGAAGAATAATTTCTAGGTTAAAGTTCTTATACTTACTCTATCACGGTCATTTTAAGATACCGCGCAATCTGTACTTATAGGACCCATTTAAACACTCACTCAGGACAAGCCATAATAAGGTCATCTTTCAACCTGCTAGCCATGTCAATACACATAAGTATTCTTTATTCCCAATAATCATTAGTTTTTGGAAAAGGCTGCCAGTCAATGCTGTGAATTGTTCTACACTGGAATTTTTTGTCAACTGTCTAGAAGAGATTGATTTTTCTAAAAAATGTATAAATGTGAATCATGAAGTATCCTATGTGTATCAATACTTTCTTTTCTTTTTGTTGAGCGTTATTATGCCTCATGTTACCTCTAGGTATCCACTCCTGCATGGGCCCGATAAGGGCCTGCAGTATGTACAAATAAATAAATAAATAAAATGCCGCATAGTTGGCAATATGCAATGTAAAAATAGAATGTGTTCTTGTACAATGGAACGAAAGGGATTTATTATTGCCTTGCAGCACTTCTTTTATATGAATGTGCATAAACATTACATTATTTCTTCGTTGTGCACATGGGACTCGGGTGGAGAGGAGCATGAGAGGGGGTAGTGGTTTTGCGGCTAATAGAGAGAACTGGGCAGTACGTCGGTCATGTACATCCTGTAACGACACTTTTAGCACCGCACTTCCGGTTGATGGGGGACGGTTTCCAAATCTGTAGAACCGAGCGATTGAGTGAAACACCCTGTTTCGTCGCTCATAGCATAGCTCGCCGCTGTCGCGTTCATTCTCGCCTTTATGGAGTTTGACCTTAATCGTGACATTAATTGGTAAGCCTGTGCCAGGATTATTCCCCTGTGTGGCCAAGGGATGAATTGGGAGAAGATGTTAAGAGTCATTAGTGAGCGAAAGCTCAATAAGGAGCAAGGGTTAAAGTTCATTCACTAGGAGAAAGAATGGCTTCAACAAGAGTTCGAGGCAAAACTAGAAGCTTATGCTCAAGAGAAACAGGAACTCGAGCACCAACTGACGTGTTGAGAGAAAACGTGCAGACGTTAAACAGAGGGAAGTTAGGGTACCTGATTTAAAAAGTCCCAATTCTGTTGAGCCGGAGGGTATTGTGTAGTGCAAATGAGACGAGGTTTGTAAGTGATGAACTGAAGGGAATGTGCTCAGACGCGGTAGACAGTGGTATCAATGCGCCGGTTAGGGAAGTGTATATCACTGTTGTTGAAGAGGGCGCGGAGAGAGAGAAAGCGACGCCTGCAGACAGTAAAGAGGTAGGGCATAGCGCACGCCGACATTGCAAGAGCAAACACCAGAAAGTAGTATGATGCAAGGAATACCTAAGACGCGCGAGATAAAACGCGAAAAAGTAAAGGGAATGCAGACAGCTCCTAAGGCACTGGAATGTCGAGGCAATGATCAGCATGCAAAGAGAGGTTAGTAAAGTTGTGAGTGGTAGACGGGCAAGACCAAAAAGAAAGAATTATGCAAAAATACTTCAGGTAGGTCATACGTATTTCGATGCAGAGAGGGTGGTTGAGTTGAAGCATCTATTGGAAATTGTACTGATTTTTTGGAGTATTGAGTGGTGAGTATTGTGTGCAGCCATTCTTGTGAGTGTAGCCATATAGTATTAGATGAGGAACTGGTGGACATGTGAACGATTGAATGTAGTGTTTGATGCGTGTTGGTGAAAGTGCGTGATGATGTAGTGTGCCGAGTGAATATCAGTGGAAATGTGCAGCGATGGAAGGTGACGCGGCCAGCCTGTGCACGTTTGGCCACAGGTCACGACACCCACAGAAGAACAGAAGGCCGAAAGCACAAGAAGGAAAAACAAGAGCAGTTTAAGAAAAAAAACTCACAAAATGGGGGCCAATGTGATCAGTAAGAGGGCACATGCCAGGCACTGGAATGCGGCATCTGTGCGCAAGACCCCCAAAGGGGTGCTGAAGCGCCACGCTCACGTACGAATTTGAAAAAGAAGGCTTGTGGCACGCGACCCGAGCCCTAATGGGAAATCCCGGAGGATTCCGGGATTTCTGTCACTGTGCTATGGAGCTTCAAACTGCGAAGATTAGGAAGGCCAGCGTCGCTACGGCAACGAAAGCAGTAGCTGCCCGATTCTGAAGGATGCTGGCGTACGAGACCTGGAAGTGGTCATCGACTTTGGAGGTCCCGAGTGTCGCTGCCCCGAATTGCCACAACCTTGTACAGCAGTTTTTGGAGGGACTACAGCCAAAACGGATGCGACCCACACCAGTCATCGGAGTGCTTCTTTAATGAGGCCACGTACAAGCTGAGTTGGAGCAGACACATGCCGACGATGATGATGGCGATGCGGTACCACTTCGTCGTAGTTCCGGAAGTGGCCCCTGAACAATAAGAATGTTCTACTATTGCGGGATCGTATGAGCGTGGCCACAAAAACTTCATTGTGGCTAGAGAGAGATTAGGGCTAAGGATTGAACTCGACTCAGATTGAAGTTAGTTCTGGTTTCACTTGTAGCCTATTATTGTGTGTGCTTCGTTTTTGCGTTTTTAGTGTTCTGATTTTTGCCATTTTGTGTAGTATTAAAATTGCTTGCTGTGTTACCGCTGACTCACGTCTCTCTCTCAATCCAACCCGTTGCAAGCGCTCCTGGCGTAAATTGTGACAGTCGGCTCCCTTTGTTCTTGGAGCTCACTCGGACTCGCCATTGGTTCCTTGCGCCTGCTGCAATTGCTTACCTTTTTTTTGCCCTTTCCGAACACTAGACCGAAGAGTGGTGTGGTGTGTTCGCGTTTGGTCCTACTACGCCAAGCCATGCCTTTCGAAGCCAACATGAGGGCTGTGGTCACAGATCGTTAAAGCGCTTGGCATAGTCGCGAGGGGCCGTTTCCCTCAGGGGCGTGTCACCGTGAACCATTTTGCCCACCCTTTGTGTTGTACTTTCGCCCGTGGCGTGGATAAGCCTTGTTTTTTTCCTGCCGCCTTTTGCAGCAGGCGCTGTACTGCGTTGTTGTACTTTCGCCCGTGGCGTGGATAAGCCTTGTTTTTTTCCTGCCGCCTTTTGCAGCAGGCGCTGTACTGCGTTTTTGGTAGTGCCGCAGGCAATAATAGGGTGTTGCGACTTGTTGAGAGCAGTACTGTGTACTTTCCACGCTGCGCTCGGCAGCGCCTTCTCTGTCTGAATGCTTATGTGCAGCGGCGTTAGTCACACGAGACAACAGTGAGCCCGGCCCTACGGCTTGCTAAGACCCAACCACGCTTGTGGCTGTAGTGCTGCGGGATATGTGGACTCTACAATGTCAGCCCTCATACGAGGAGTTATGAGTTGACTCAGATGTGGCTGACTGGAACAAAATTGACTCTTACGCCCCCGCGTTTTCACTTAACGCCACTTCATTCACTTTTATTTGTACTCTTTGTGAACCACACAAACAATAGTTTCAATGCACAATTTTCAGTTCATATGGATTATTTTCTACAATTTATTTTGCATTGGCAGCCTTTGAATGGCAAACGGCGCACGGTAAGCCGCCATGCAGGTACCCTGACCGAGCCATTTCAAGGTAAACACTTGCACAGGAAGTTGCTGATAATTATTTTTTGGATCATTCATATCTTTCAATAAAAATGTCGTTTCTGGATTGAAACCGCTCATAACTCATACTTGAAGGTATGAGGTCAAAATGCGCTAAGTTGAAGGAGCATTGGTACCATGATGACTAAATAAACGCCAGGTTTGTGTGGAAGGCGCAGGGCAGTCACAGCTAGAAGAGCGGCTTTTCAGAGTTTTTTCTAAACACTTCTAAACACGTAACTGCTGCAAGCACACTAGCTGGGTACCCACTATGGCATTAATAATTTCTGGGTAGTAGGCCGGCATTCGCTATGCTATTCTTCCTAATTCTTCTGAGAAGTGTGGTATCCACTGAACACCTGCAAGGAATTTAATATCAAGTGTTCATTGAGTAGCTGACGGCGATGAGGAATTATGCCTGAAGTGGGAATATGCCACAGTTAATAACAAGAACAAGGTTCCGTAGTGGGTCGGAGCATGAGACGACCCACTGATTACACTGTTCGCATTGCGCGACGCCTGGTTGTTCTTTTGCTGTTCTAAAATGCTTTATTAATCATATTAACGCGATTCCTTTTTCGTCATCAAACCTGCCCGAGGCAACTTTGCGAACAAGTTCTAAGCACTGGCGTGGCTTAATGGTAGAATATTGGGCTGGTACGCAGCGTACCTGGGTTTGAACCCCATCGTGTTTTTGGTACTAGGATTTTTCTCTTATTTCTGCGATACTGGATACAGACACCGACGGCGGTAAACAACTACGGCACCGCGCGTGACCCGGGTTTTGATCTCATAACAGCTTTCGCTGTAAAAAAAAAAAAAAAAAAAAAAACTAATTACACAGTATTGAACTCTTGCGTCATCTCACTCAAATCAAGCTGTGAGTGAGGCTGGTTATATTCACGGGGTAATTACTTTTGTGCAAGTTTGATCAAATGCTGTGCATGCAAGCAGCGAAAATTGATATAGCTTAGGCTTTGACTAGGATTTTTCTCTTATTTCTGCGATTCTGGATACAGACACCGACGGCGGCAAACAACTACGGCACCGCGCGTGACCCGGGTTTTGATCTCATAACAGCAGCGAAAATTGATATAGCTTAGGCTTTGGACTTGTGCTTTTGATGTACTATATAATGAAATTTTTTGTACTTTCTCTTTGCAGAACAGTACGACACATTTGTTAAATTTACCTACGACCAAATTCAGAAGCGGTTTGAAGGTGCCACGCCCAGCTGTAAGTGGTCAACCGTTTTTCTGTGTTCCTCCATCTCTCTTTTTCTTTGTGTTTAAATGTCAAGATTCTTCTATGTGGTTCTCTAGGGGGACACTTGTCTTCAATTCTTTATTATTATTATTGATTGTATTTGATAATTGCTGAGTTTATGTACATAAATATTTGTCTGGTGGTGTCAAGTATTCAATTAATTTTTAGTATCATATGTGGTTCTTGAAAGTTGAGGTACAGTTGAAACCCACAACAGCGAAATCAGCGGGAAAAGAAAAAAAGTTCTCTTGTGGGAATTCAAGTACTGCGAAAATAAGGCAAAAAAGACACATTTGACTAAAAACTCACATAATTGCAAAGAGTTAAAACGCTTACTTTGCCGAGCCTGTTCACAAAACCATGCGACCACCACTTTGTCTGGGATTGCTGTAGCTGTCACGGTTTTGTTTCTAGTGTTGTTTTCAAGCGCACCGAGAATGGAGGCCTTGACGAGAAGCTGCACTCGACGCAGAATTCGTCGGTGATTTTTTTTCTGCCCTTTTCCAGACCTCAGTGTGAATTCCAGCGTTATCTTCTGGCGTGATGAACTTCCGCTTCTTTGTGGGCAGACAAATTGGGCTCTGTGACAAAAAACACACACAGCGACACAAGTGTCCATGTGCAGCAGCAACGGGTATGCAAAGCCGACGAAGCCAGCGTAGTACTACAAAGAACGAAATTCCATGTAAAAATGGATTTGGATACGTAGTATGAGAATACGAGTCAGTCTAAAACAGGGGTACTACAGTTGCGCCAATTTGATACAATTTCAGACATTTGCGCGCCACGCTACACTAAAATGCTCAGCCACGTTGGCCACCTGCAGTTTGCGCCATCTGTCAAAGTGCGCTGATCCCAACTATAGTGTCTAGAATGCACTTCAAATATGGCCAGGTAAAGTAAAAATGCTGCGGCACCCATCACTTGACCGCAGTAGATACCTATCGCGGGACGAAGAAACTTCAACACAAAAATGCATTGCTTTAGCCACCAACGCTTCCCGGGGAATGTAAATTTCCTATCCTGAGAACACAGCTATGGCTTGTTAGGAACTAAAGCTGGAAGCGTATTGGCGTGTTTTTTTCGCGCAAACTAGCTTGACACGCTGCGAATCCCGGCGTTGCCAGTGACCACGTCGACCGCCTTAAAAGTGGCACATAAAACTTCTTGTTTGTTTTGAAGTTGCGTCTAAAAGTGGCACATAAAACTTCTTGTTTGTTTTGAAGTTGCGTCGTCCTGGCCACGGTCTTGGCGATAGATTTCCGGTAGCATTGTTATTACTTTACCTGGACGAACGCACTTTGCAAGGGAGCCAAAGTGGCACTAACCCCACCGGTGAAAAAAGAAACATGGTGGGAAGTGCAAGGGAGTTGTAAGCAGTTGCAAAATTTCTTGGATTTGGTTGTAAACCGTGCAAAGAATGCTGCTTTAGCCACCTTTGCCACAGTACACTGGTGACCAGCAAAAAAGCGCATGGAGATTTGAAAGGGGCTGTTAGCGCTATTCAAGGGGCGCTGCACATTTAGCTAGGTAACTCATCATTTGTAGGCCACATAATTCCGAGCTTCAGTATAATCATTGACGTCTAAATAAGTTACTCGCAATCATATGGAGCAGTGTATTACATTTCTGCTTCTCTAAAAAAAAAAAAAAAGCCACCCCTACTCTTTGGTTTTACAAATCTCCCGAATTTCAAGGTCCTGAGCTTGGCAAATTTATATTTAAATTCCCAGAGTCTGTCAGATTCTTTGATAGGTGCAGTAAATGCTAATATGGATATCACTGTTTGCTCAGTGGGGTGGTTCAAAATACTACTACTGCCATTGAAATAGCAGTGCTCATGTTCGCACTGCATGATTTAGGTGATGTTAAATGGTGTGTATATATATAAGGGAAAGAAGTGTATACATAAGGGCTCGTCGTTTTTCCGTGTTTTTACACAATATTATTGAGATATTACAGACAATAGTGCCGAGGAAAGTATAGGGAAAGCTATCAGACCGAATTGTAATGTAAATGTGAAGAAAGAAAAGTGGGTGAAAAGGTAACATGCCGTGGTCAGGAATCGAACCTGCGACCTTCGAATAACGTAGGTTCAGCTGTGTCCGCCCCGCCGCGGTGGTCTAGTGGCTAAGCTACTCGGCCCCTGACCCGCAGGTCGTGGGTTCAAATCCCGGCTGCGGCGGCTGCATTTCTGATGGAGGCGGAAATGTTGGAGGCCCGTGTGCTCAGATTTGGGTGCACGTTAAAGAACCCCAGGTGGTCGAAATTTCCGGAGCCCTCCACTACGGCGTCTCTCATAATCATATAGTGGTTTTGGGACGTAAACCCCACATATCAATCAATCAAATCAATCAGCTGTGTCTGTGTGAATGTGTGTGTGTGTGTGTGTGTGTGTGTGTGTGTGTGTGTGTATATATATATATATATATATATATATATATATATATATATATATATATATGTATATATGTGAACTGAACCTGCGACCTTCGAATAACGCGTTCGATGCTCTACCACCGAGCTACCACGGCGGCTATCTTCCCAGCCACTTTATTGGGTGTATATGTGAATTTAAACGTGGTAGTGTCAGTCAGCGCCATCTGTATTCATGACGGCGAGTGTGGCACACTCTTTCATGAGCCTGTGTGGCGTCACGTAGCACGCGAGCTTATTACGAGCTGGCAGCTGACCAATAGTCCCTCCTATACAATCTAAGGCACAAAGTCTGCCAGTACGAAACCTTCGTTAATGAATATGGGAAAGAAGTGTATACTGAAGGGCTCGTTTTTTCGTGTTTTGACACAATAATAATGAAATCTAATAGACAACAATGCCAAGGAAAGTATAGTAGATGTTATTAGACCGAATTGTAAGGTAAATGTGAAGAAAGATATATAATGTAAGCCTTCTTGTTTATACTGCTTCAAATTTAATATTTCATGATAAAATTATGTCCGATTTTTTTCTCATAACCTGCTCCAAATTTGGATTTTAGTGCTCCAAAAGTAACATTTTGCTTCTTCCAAAATTACTCGAAAACTAGTGATCCCGCTCCTGTGCCAAAGTGTGCCGAATCAAATTTACTGCACCATCCTGCTAATATAAACGAAAACTGCGCCCAAGTCGGATTTGGAAGCGTCGGTCTCGGGCAATATCCACGTCGGCGCGTCAACGCATATTCACCTTTTTTTCGGGGCCACAAAGTTCACACTCGTGTACATAAAGTTATTCGCTCTAGGTCGCGCGTGTGTCCTAAAATAAACCACGATGCCATGTTTGGTGCTGACACAACTTCTGTTGTGCAAGTTCGCTCAACGGCGGAAGTGCGCTCTCCACTGGGGCTCTTGTCATCTAGTCCAATTGTTAGCGTGTGACTGTGGCAGTGATTCATTGGCGGACGTCATTTGCTCCAGGAACGCTGCTGATAGCTCGTTCTAAGAGTTGCGCAGCACGTAATTGAAGGAATTTTCACTAATAACTTCACGCGTGCCACGAGAATATCTGTCACGTCTACTTCTGGACATTGTGATTGAATTTTCTGTGCTTCGCGACCACAGAAGAGCACGTGAACAGTGAGAATGCATTGACACTTTTCCTATGATATACTTTAATCCTGGATATTCATTCAGAGGAGCTTTTTCGTTATGGATTACACTAGCACATCCGCATTGGTATAATCGCTGTTGCAGAAGAAACCCCCCAAAACCCCGCCCTTTCGAAGTCGATATTGCTAGGGTCTGAGGACAAAATTTTCGCGTGATTTTTCTTTTTTTTTTTTTATGTCATCTCATTAATGAAAGCATGCTTCCTGGTTGGAGCAGCCACGAATCGGTTTTAATATTTGCAGCATTCAGTAGTGGGGCCATCGCTGATGACTCTGATGTATGAAGGCCCACAGTGAACCGGCTACGCCGTGTTACACGTTTGCCCCTTGATTTCCAGGGTCAGCATCGTACGGTTAAAAACAAAAAGATTGAACATCACAGCATCGCATTCATTGCTTGGTACCAACCCTGATTCTTGCTTCGCTTGTTCGCCGTGTGTACAGGAACTTCTCATGTGGAAGGGAGGTGACAGCCGTATCGATGCTTTGGTGGTCGCTTGCAATGTTAGTTATTTGCTACAATGTCAACGACGGCGTGGTATGAGGTTGCGGCGAAGTAGTGCACACCTCTGGGCGCCCCTCTAGATCACAGCAGATACCACTGTAGCGGTTAATGATTCTATGACGTGCGCGGGCGTGGGGTTAGCTTGCAGAAAATAATGCCATCAACCACCTAAAATGAGTGACGTACAACAAAGAAGCTGTTTCCAAATAGTGTACGCGTATGTCAATTTGCAAAAGGCTAAGCGACCTAACTTTATTTTCATTACCACGTTTATTGCTCATCCCGAAAATGTTTTCACAAAATTTGCCTCGCATTGTAAACGCACAGCCAACTTTGCTCTGATTTTTGATAGAAAGAAAGTGCGTTCATTATGAGAGTAAATATGGTAATAGTGGAGCACTTGTGCCAGGATGTCTACTTTGTGTTCCTTACATGGTTGTAGTTATCTAACACAGAGTTAATGGTCAAATCATACAATTCCTTATCGTTGGCACGCTTCTGAAATTTTCGCTCACCATTTTTAAAAAAAATCAAATAGTGCGGCATTAGGGTGCTTAAGTCCTCTTCTTCTCTTCAAAACTACAATAGCTGATTCAGCTCTTCAGTCTAAGCTTGCACCTTCAACAATTTATTTTTTTTAGAAGTTTTTGGCAACGAAACCCACATTACGTAATAAATTATACAGTCACTAACGCTATCTGATGCAAGCATTGCGTTAAATACGTTGTCGCACTCAATCCCATCCTGCACCAATCCTGCTGTTCAGCTCATTCCACCATGATTGACAGGACACACCCTCCTTAAAAGCTAAGGAGTTGTAGCTCTTAAGTAGCTGGCGATTTCCGTACCTGGGTGGCC